AAATAAACTTTAAGTTTAAAGTATAAAATAAAAACTGTAAAAAATTTGATAAAAAAAATGTAACAAAAAAAATATAATAAAAAAAATGTAATAAAAAAAATGTAATAAAAAAAATATAACAGAAAAAAATGTAACAAAAAAAAGAATAAATAAAATATTTACCTTTTTTTGACCAGAAATTTTATTTTTACTAAGTGTTTGATTTAGTTCTATTCAAAAAAAAAGTCCTGTTTCATCTGCATTGTAAATATTTTTCTTATTGTATTTAGCTAAAAGAGCGCGTAAACGTAAACGTTCTTCTGAAAGAGTTTCAAGCGGAGCACTATTAGCTCCTCCTGAAAAATTAATCCTTTGAAGACCATTTCGCAACTTGAATCTATATACCTAACCATTAGCACATTTTAACTGTTCTTCAATATTTAATGTTTTAGCAAATTTCAAGCCTTTTTGTTGTAATATTAAGTCAGTTAAAGGAATTCCATTGGCTATTACTTGTGAAGTCCAAATTTGTATAGCTTTGTCAAGTTCTGGAAATTGAACAGAACAATGGCGAAAAATATGTGGTGTTTGTGAAGTAGATAAAACTGCAAGCTATTTTTCGTGACTTTTCCATATTTTATTAATGGTGGTTCTATCGATATTCAAATTTTCGTGTTTTTTATTAAAAATTGAAGCAACATCACCTTGATTTATATGGGGATTTGCTATGATATATTCACATATTTTTTTTTAGTGTTAATACTAATAGCAGTATGAGTTTTCTTCTATTCTAAATGAATAGGTGGCATTTTAACACAAATAAAGCTACAAATACTACGCAAACCGTTCAAATATTACGCAATTATGCATATTTTTATGGATCATAAAAGTTGTACAAAATTCAATGCTATCATGTGATTTCTGTGATTGTATAGGGGGTAAAATTCTTACTGTGATTATATAAGAGGTAAATTTCGTATATTTATTATAATATCAGGCCTTATAAATGGTGTGATTATATTTTATAATATGCCTATGATTATAAAGAGGGTATTTCTATTTAAAAAGATCAGGACTAAATAAAATGTGTTTTAAGGGAGGGAGTGCTTATATCAGGGGTAACTATAGAGGGGGACAACTGTATAAGGTTTACCATTTTCATTATAACCAGTTTTGATAACTGATCCATAATGCTTAATTGTCTCTAATATATCAGATCTGTAAATTCGATTTGCATATTCTTCATTACTTTTAATCATATTATCCAAAATTTTTCAATCACTATTTCCAATATCTTGAAGATTATCTTTCAATTTAGAAACCAAAATATTAACAATTTTATTTCTTAAATCAGTCTGTTTTTTAACAATTTCAGTACTATATTTTTTTCTTAATCTCTTGATTTTTTTAGTTATTTCTTCTTTTTTTTTCAAAAGTTCTCCTAAGGCAATTGTTTTGTCTTTAATTTTCTGATCAAATTCAGGATCAAATTCACTAAACAAAATATTTTTAAACTGACTAACTACCTTATCAACTGGTTTATTATCATTTAGATTATTAACAACTTGATAAGAAATAGATTTAACTTTTTGCTCTTTTAAGATAAAAGCTAGAGTTCTGAATGAGTTGAGTCAAGTCGAGTTTAAAGACCAACTCTATTTAACTCATTTTTTTCAAGTTGAGTTGAGTTAAATTTATTTTATAAAATTTTTCAATTTGATTTGATTCAAATTATATAAATTTTAAACTCGACTCAATTTGACTCGACTTGATTTTAACTTGATTCAATTTTAAAATAAAAATAATAAAAAAAAATAAAAAGAACAATTCGGATCATCGTTCTTCTTAAATTATTTTTTTTATCGTTCAAGTTGAACGATTCAGGTCATCATTTTTCTTAAATAATTTTTTATCATTCAAGTTGAATGATTCAGGTTATCATTCTTCTTGAATAATTTTTTATCATTCTAGTCGAACAATTCAGGTCATTATTTTTCTTGAATGATTTCTTATTGTTCTTCTTGAATGATTTTTTTATTGTTTAAGTCGAATGATTCCTTATCGTTCTTTTTGAACGATTTTTTATCATTCAAGTCGAACGATTTCTTATCGTACTTCTTGAATGATTTTTTTATCGTTTAAGTCAAATAATTCCTTATTGTTCTTCTTGAATGATTTTTTATCATTTAAGTTGAACGATTTCTTATCGTTCTTCTTAAATGATTTTTTTATCATTTAAGTCGAATGATTTGGGTC